ATGTCCGGCACCGTTGTCCTCCAGCTCGGTTTCCACCTGAACTGGAGCGCGAGGCAGGCGAACAAGTGAATATCCTTACCTTTGTGTGAGAACTGTATTGTCACTCGCAGTGTTACAAATCCCAAACGAAGCAACCCTTGCATCTTCCACCCCAAACATCCCTCCCGGCGGATTTCTGTATGTCTGTCCGCACCGTGGTGCAACGTTTTGATGTTGACAGGGAACCATCTGTCAGGCGTGAGTTGTGTTCGCAGTACTGCAAAGCATTCTGGCTTTTCTTGATGAACGCCTCAACAAGTGGATCTAGGGCAAAAACCAGAGACTTCCCCACACTATACGCAAAAAGGTTGCAAACAACATCCGCGCCAAAGCGTTGGCCAACCCAAAGCCCGCAAAGGTTGCGCGAATCCCACGCTTGCACGGCGCCCAAACAAGATTGTACTTGCCGTTTTCTGAGGGCCTGGGCACCCCTGATCTAGAAAGAACACCTGCTTGGCCCAACTTTCTCTGGCGTGCTTTGGGCAGTAACATTAACATTTTCTCACGGGCGCATGTGCCTCATTGGCCAAACAATCATCACGCGCCTCAGCCGCCAGTGTAGGGGACAGCTGTGGAGACTCCATCGCCTGCAATTTTGGCTGCGCCCACAGCTTTGACGGGTCATTTGTTAGCCAAATTGACTGCGAGGGCAAAGGCCTTGCCCTGAGTTTCGTCGTTGTCTTGACTCAGTGTTTCAGGTTGCCGCATTTCGAAGCTGAGGTCTATATACTCGCACGGGTGGATTTTGGCCGGGCTCACCAAAGCAAAACGACTCCACGACCCCGTTGCGCAACACGAGAAGCGCGCGCCTCCAGCCCCACAGCGTGGGATGTACGAGGTTGACTATCAACTAAGCCCTTAAACCTGGTCGTGTGACAAGCATTGCAGCATGGCTGATGTGAAAAGCATTCGCTCTCATTTTGTGGGATCAATGGCTTGTTGTTGTTGTTGTTGTTGTTGTTGTTGTTGTTGTTGTTGTTGTTGTTGTTGTTGTTGTTGTTGTTGTTGTTGTTGTTGTTGTTGTTGTTGTTGTCGTCGTTGTTCAACCTTGCATTCCTTCCCAATCTTTGGCTCGGCCTTTTGTGTAACTCTCTCTCGCTGTCCTCTGCACCTACTTGCCATGGGACTGCAAATAAGCCACGAATGCCATGGCGGACATGCAGCAAAGTTCTGCCTCGGCTTTGCTTCTAGTACCGCGCATCTGCTTGTAATGACTTATCTGGTGGCGAATAAAGCTTTGGTGATGTCGAACCCTATGCAATAAGTTTAACTTTTTGTGGGTCCAATGGACAGTCCACTGTCGGGAACAAGCCAAAGTCCAAAGATGGCCAAATAGCCACAAAGAGAATTGCATGCAAAACCGCACGCACAAAGGCGTCCACTTCTTGACAAGGTAGACTTCAAATTCAGGGCTTTCCCTTTGGACATCAAGCACCCCTGGGTTTAAGTCCATCTTGGCTACCATGTCCTAAACAGAACTGATGGTAGCTCCTGACCCGTTCCCTCTTTAAAAGGACATTTGGATACTCCCAGCTCATTGGCTCCCTTCCAACCACCACTAGTTGGGGTCAAACAGTGGGTTAGAAACCTAAAAATCGTGAAAAACCTAAAGAACCGGATGGCTGGGAAACACTTGCTTGTGCTCATGAACCGGAAGGGGATTCCCTTAAAGGAAACCACCAGTTGGATGGATTTTTTCAGGGTCATTCCAGTTCTCACTCCCTGCATCTCTCGCACCGATCGCAAGAAAAAGTGGAACACCACAGGAGTCGCGTGAGGCAAGGGCTTGAGCCTCGAAGTCAAACTGCCGCGCCAGCTCGTAGTAGTTGAGCCTCAGGCTGCATGCAACGAATGGCGGCTTGGACCTCTAAAAAATGCATCCCTACTAGAGGGTTTGTCTTGTTGTTCGGGGACCCCCCCCCCAAAAAAAAAAAACAAGAAGAGGAATACATAACTGATTAAAACAAGTGGCGTACTGTTGTTTTTTGAACGACACAATTTCAGGGGGTACCAACTCCATTAAAAACACCACACCCATCTACAATGTTCCTGCTCAGTGCTCCCCAAACAGAACTGCAAACCACGCGCTGGATCTCAAAGTGGGCCGTAGATGAGGCAAATTTGCCAACGACCCTCGCGCCAACTAACGTGGAACCTGCTGGGGGGGTCCTGGAAGACCACATTCCTTTTCAAGGCACCCATTGTCAGGGTCCATGTTAATTGGCGGGAGGGTACAGCTGCCGGCTCTTTTCTGTGATCTGCTCTAGTAAAGCCTGGCCAGCAGGGCCCCAGTTCAGCAGGGCGCTCTGAAGGATGCAAATCACTTCCTCGGACAGTCGCTTAAACCTTGGGTTTCCTGTCTTTTCCCGCCAAGCCCCTTGAACTGAACATCCTGTGCCTGCTGCAAAGCGGGTCCCATAGCAGCCTTGGGGCTTGAGGGCCTTTGCGCTACTTGCCTACGCCGCTAAGGGCGCCTACGCAGGAGGTGCAAGCTCGAGAATCGACATGTTCAGTACAATCCTGGAACCCGAAGGGCGCTTCGGCAAGCTCCAGCGCGAAGATTAGTGGATGCCCAAGGATCAGACGGCTAACAAAGGCAGAGGTACGAACAATGCCTCGAAAGCCTCGCGAATGCCTATACAGAGCCACAAGGAGCTTTCAAGAAGATTGTAGAGACAAACAAAGGCCAAAAAAAACATCGATTGTTGAACTACGGTTTGTTCACAACACACGCGAGTGAAACAACCCAGGATTGCCTCTGCAAACTAAGGTATGCGTCGGGACCAAGATCGGTGCCGGGGAGGGGTTTGGGGGGGGTTACTTGAATTGCACATGATTCCAGCAATGTAGGAATCCCTTGTATCATATTTTGTACTGGATGTGAATGTCACAGCTTGATATCTTTGCTTGTGCATTCCGAAGTGGCTTAACCCACAGTCTCACAGAGAATAGCTGAGGGACATCAGTCTCCGCGCCTTGTCATTCTGGCTGCTTGGGAATATATCAGTATCCTTTGAGCCCGATCTGCGCAGGGGTGGTTCGAGGGCGGGGGATGGTACCGTTCTTGCTCACTGAAAACACATCTTGCGGAACGGCGTTGTTTGCTGACTGATTAAAAGGCTCGTCTTCTTGCTGCTTTTCACATGTTGGGACTAAGATCGGTGGATGTGGTCCATTTTCATTCCTTCCAAAGACAAAATCACAATTGCTTGACTCAAATCACAATGGAATTGAGCACATCCATCGATCTTGGTCCCGACGCATGGCACTACTAACGCTGGTCTATATATATATATGTGTGTGTGCAACATTTGCCAGTGGCTGCCGTGCACTTTGTTTGATTGGATCACGTGCCCCCTACACTCGCCGCAGCTCGGCTCCCTACAGCGGGGGCGGCCTTAAAGGCTTACGCACATCACAGTCATCCCAAACAAGCCAAACAAACAAAACGTAGCAACACCAAACCAAACGAAAAACCAAACCAACAAACAAACAACACAAACGTAACAAGTACAACAACAAGCACAACAAGCGCAACAAGTACAACAATGCTACAACAAAAACAACAAGTACAACAGTACAACAAGTGCAACAAGTACAACTAGTACAACAACAAGTACAACAACAAGTACAACAACAACAACAACAACAACAACAACAACAACAACAACAACAACAACAACAACAGCAGCAGCAGCAGCAGCAACAACAACAACAACAGCAACAGCAACAGCAGCAACAGCAGCAACAGAAGCAACAGAAGCAACAGCAGCAAGAGCAGCAACAGCAGCAACAGCAGCAGCAGCAGCAGCAACAGCATCAGCAACAGCAACAGCAACAGAAACAGCAACAGCAACAGCAACAGCAACAGCAACAGCAACAGCAACAGCAACAGCAACAGCAACAACAACCACAACCACAACAACGACAACGACAAGAACAAGAACAACACCAACAACACCAACAACACCAACACCAACAGCAACAGCAACACCGACACCAAAAACCAAACCGACAAACAAACAACACAAGCGTAACAAGTACAACAACAAGTACAACAAGTACAACAACAACAACAACAACAACAACAACAACACCAACAACAACAACAACAACAACAACACCAACAGCAACAGCAACACCGACACCAAAAACCAAACCGACAAACAAACAACACAAGCGCAACAAGTACAACAACAAGTACAACAACAAGTACAACAAGTACAACAACAACAACCACAACAAGTACAAGTACAAGTACAAGTACAAGTACGACAACGACAACAACACCAACACCAACACCAACACCAACACAAACACCACCACCACCAACAACAACAACAACAACAACAGCAGCAGTAGCAGCAACAACAGCAACAACAGCAACAAAGGCAGCAGCAGCAGCAACAGCAACAGGGACAGCGACAATAACAACGACGACGACGACGACAGCGACGACGACAACAACAGCAGCAGCAGCAGCAACAGCAACAGCAGCAGCAACAGCAACAGCAACAGCAACAGCAACAGCGCCAGCAACAACAACAAGAACAAGAACAAGAACAGCAACAACAAACAAACGAAAAAATAAGAGGAGGAAACAACGCAAACCAAAAGCAAACAACCAAACAAACAAACCAACAAAACAACAGTCAACCAACCAAACAACCAAACAAACAACATACACGCACAAAACAACACAACTCACAACCACAACAACAACCGCAACCACAACCACCACCACCACCACCACAACAACAACAACAGCAACAGCAACAGCAACAGCAACAGCAACAGCAACAACAACAGCAACAGCAACAGCAACAGCAACAGCAACAGCAACAGCAACAGCAACAGCAGCAGCAGCAACAACAACAACCACCAACAACAACCACAACAACAACAACAGCAGCAACAGCAGCAGCAACAACCACCCAACCACCCACCCACCCACCCAGCCACCCACCCACCCACAAAAAAAAGAAACAAACAAACAAACAAACAAACAAACAAACAAGCACACACCCGCAGAAACACACAATCACACAACCAACCAACCAACCAACCAACCAACCAACCAACCAACCAACCAACCAACCAACCAACCAACCAACCAACCAACCAACCAACCAAGAAACCAAGAAACCAAGAAACCAACCAACAAACACCACACCACACACACAAACACACAAAACACCAGCAAACACCCCAAACCACCCAAACCACCAACTATCTACACAACCGCACAACCAAACACACACACACACACACCAACACAACCACACAAACAGACAAACACACAAACAAAGAAACAAAGAAACAAAGAAACAAACAATGAAAGAAAGAAAGAAGGAAAGAAGGAAAGAAGGAAATCAGGAAAGAAGGAAAGAAGGAAATCAGGAAAGAAGGAAAGAAGGAAAGAAGGAAAGAAGGAAGGAAAGAAGGAAAGAAGGAAAGAAGGAAAGAAGGAAAGAAGGAAGGGAAGGAAAGGAAGGAAGGGAAGGAAGGGAAGGAAGGGAAGGAAGGGAAGGAAGGGAGGAAGAAAGGAAGAAGGGAAGAAAGGAAGAAAGACACGCACAAACAAAAACACAAGACGTCCAAACAAAGAACACAAACAAACACACAAACACAAACCAACAAATACAAACACATCACGAAACGCCAACAAAAGGCAAACAGAAACGAAACCACCAACCACCCAAACAACCGCACAACTAAACAAACACACGAACACACGAACAAGCGTACCAACAAACAAGCAAGCAACCACCGCAAGAGAAGCCCAGAGAGCTTGATCTGCCCCGTTTTGAGACTAGGCACTGCCTCGCTAGCGTGTGCCAGGCTTGGAAGGAGTATAGCCTGCGCAGCTTGTTGGCATAGCGGAACGTTCTCGTTGAAGAGGTGAATGACAAGCACCTCGGCTCGCAAGCGCCGTGCGCCATTTTCAGCCAAGCGTGATGGTGATGGAGGTGAGGGGGGTTTGCGCCACTAAGAACGGCACATCGATGCCGTCTGCAAAATCAAGAGCAGGGCATTCGAGGCTTCGCTGGCATCTCAGCACAAGACGCAGTTGTCACAAAGCTAACCCCTTTGGTTGCTGTGAGCCCTCTGCAAAAAGTTAAGCCTTATTTTGTGGGTTTAATGGAACACCCTTGATTGTCCAAAAAAACAAATCTAAAGGTCCAACCCGATGGCATCCAATAGCAATCAAGACCTGGCAGGAGGTTTGCTTTAATGCTGCCGGTAAGTTTAGCATCTGAGTCTCTCCTCGCTCCCGAGTGCCACCTTGAGCTCAAGCACGGTGTCCTGTCGACTGGTTTGAAAGGAGGTCTAATGTTGACCCCCTCTTAATCAACCCCAGTCGATCAACATAGGGGGCGTTCCCTGCAAAGTGATGATTCCCTATCAAAATCAGGGACGCTCCCCTATTCATAAACTGGGGTTGATCAATATAAGGTCAACATTACTGCTAGGGGAGTGGCCGAGTTCCAAATTTGAGTCCTTCGGATAGGCCAGTATTGATTCTCCCCAGGAACTTTGCTTTGGCCATTGCACGCCTGCAAGCGGCCCGCTTCAGAGCAGGCTGGAGGAAACAAATTCTGTCGCTCGCTTAACGCTTTCTACCCCAAACGCCGCCCGCCAAGCGATTCGAACCCGGGCCTCTCGCTTGCGAAACACACACGCGCGCGCGAACCCCGCAAAGTTTCCAGCCCCCGTCCAAGCATGAGAATTCATGACGCATCATACCAGCAATCCAACGACTCGACCCGCTGAATCTTCGCAACAAGTAGTACAATAAAGTTGAGAGCCTGCTTTTTGTGGTGGGTCTCTTCCCCAAAAAAATAGAAGCACAATTCGATTCAGAGGGAAAAGGTATTACACCCTGGGATTTCACCTTGTTCCCCGACTAATTCGTTCTAAAAGGAACTAATTTGCTCTATTTCGATTGATTTTGCTTTATTTTGATTTATTTTGATCCATTTGCGGCTTGTGTGGGGCAGGTCCAAGAAGCAAGAACCCATGTCTCCCGAATAGTTCAAACACCCACGTGTTTCATCGCCAATGCTTTCCTTTCACGCTTCGGACGGATCGATGTCGCAAGTCCTACTTTGCGAGTTTGCCTTTCTTGGTGAAGCAGGAAGTTTTGAGGTGGTCCCCACCTCGACATTTGAAGCTTTTGGACCCCAACAATCCCCCAGAAGAAAAACAGCCAAAATCAATCAACTAATTCAGGAGTTGGGTGTAATACCTTTCACCCAGCGGTATTTGAGGATTTCCAGGACCCCTCAACCCCAAGAATTCCCCCAGAAGAAAAGCAGCCAAAATCAATCAAAGTAACTCAGGAGCTGGGTGTAATACCTTTCACCCAACGGTATTCGAGGTTTTGCTGGGTGTTTTTGGACCCCCAAAGTGGGAATTACTTTGCGAGTGAAGCTGTCTCATGACACATTGGCGACATCC